GTTACAGTGTCAATCTGTCTGTTTTTAAATGAAAATTTTCTTTTATACTGGTTTATTTCCAAAGTTTGTATACATTGTTTTTCACACCAGATCTTCCCCATTTCCTTTACCCACCCCTCCCTCCATCCATCAAATTGTGCAACCCTATGATTATCCCCACCCTCACCCATCCTCACCTCTCTGCTCCTACCATCTCCACCTTAGAGCCTCACACACGTTTTACTAGTCATCTATTTCTACAATAAATGGTTGATGAACAGGACCTTCTAAAAATTAAATCCCTGTGCACATCACTCTGTCTGTTTGAGGATCTTCACCCTCCTTCCCTCACTGTCAGCCTTTCTATGCATGATGTTCTTTTTTCAAAGACTAGCCCCTCCTAACAGCATGCAAGAGACCTAAGAAAGTGTGTCACTATTCATGTTGACTGATTGCACCTTTTCTGAGATGTATTTGTTATTTTGGCAATTTGTGGGACATTCAGCGCTCTTCTACTGCTCCACAACTCAAAAGCATTGATTATTCTTCTGCCAGCCTTATTCATTGCTTCAGCTTCTTTATCTCCAGAGCCAGTTTCAGAGTTCATTTTGATATTTTATTTCTTGTCTTTTTAAATAATATTTTTTCTTTCTTTATGACTTGTTGTCATCCCAAAACTCATCATCAGTTCTCTCGTACTGGTGCTCAAATGACTATACAGTTTAGTTAGTCCCTGGCCTTGTTCTGACTGATAATATTGAACTTCTCCACCTTCTCATTCCACAGATGTAATGAAATCTATATGTGCAGTTACTGGTTGTGGCTGGGTTTGTGTGTGATTAAAAAGAGCAAAGGTCACACGAAGCTGGCTATATCTGACCTTTACCAACTTCACAAAGGGGAACTGGCCCTGGCAACAACAACAGCAACCAATACCCATGAGGTCAGACATGTTTCCCAAGCTTTTTACTCATTTCAATACCATTGTTACTGTTTTATTTGGTCCAAAAATCCAATGTGATAGTCCACAGATCACACAGAAGCATGCTGGGAATTAAAAAGGTTATAATCCAGGTTAATAGTAGAATACAGACAGGAATGCTTCTGAAATGTGCTTACAAACACTTCAGCCTTGCACCTTATGGCTTTAGGTCAATGTTATGAAGATCTCAGTCTTACGAGTGTTGTCTCTCCCTTCCCTAGTCCTCCAACAAACTTGGGCAAAAGGCTCTTAGCTCTGGTCCAATAGTGGGGAAAGCCCAACATCCCACCTCCTGCCAGGTCTCCTGTTCTCTGCTGTGCCTGCCATGGCTGCTGCTCCCACAGGCCCTCCTAGTCTGTCTGCGGTGCTGAGGAAGAGTTGTTTTCTTTGGTTCTCTGCTTATAGAAGATCTTTCTGATGCTGGATCTGCTCAATGTAATGACAAGGTTAGCCAACCCCCTTGTGGACTGGTGAGACTAGCCAGTCCCCTTGCAGAGCGGCTAACACACTCTATCCACATGTGCTGGCCCATCCATATGACATAGTCAATGTCAATGGCTAGGAAAGTCATTATGAAAGATAAACTCTACAGTGTGTGAATGTATGTATGTATGTGTGTGTGTATTTTAAAGGTATCCACAATAAATTAGTTATTGGTTCTACAGAATTCTATCTCGCAATCTCTAGCATCATTTCTATCAGTATAGCATATTTTCCAATCACTAACCCTTCTTTTTTGTTTCCAATTTTTATATTGATACCATCAGTAATTATCAAGACATCTTGACTGCATATTTGGTTGATTTCAGAGTGTGGAAGTTCAAAGAAATCTTCCACTTCTTCATGTCTGGCTTCAGCTGCTGGTTCATAAATCTGAGTCATTGTCCTATTACCTGGTTTGTCTTTAATGTATAGGAGCCTAAGTTGGCTGACTTCAAAGTGCAAATATTGAAAACTTTCTTTTTTTGTTTTTATATGGTGAGTATCAGAAGCTGAATGACAACATCATGTTAAACAAATTGTTAAATATGTCTTTTGGCCCAGGCCTGGTGATAATTCCAATGTTTTACAACACTGCTTGACTTGTAACATCTGGTATTCTCGCCACCCCATAGAATCTTCTCTTCAGCAACTATCAAGTCGTCTTTCCCACGTACATTCGGTCCAGCCATAAGCTAAAGATTCATGACAAATTTTCTCAGAGAAACCTGGGTCACTCCTCATCAAAGACCTCTCTCCTTTAGGGGAGTTCTCTACAAATTCCAGCTAATTCAACAGTGCTAAACAAGAAATGATTACAGCCTTTTCAGCTCAGCAGGATTACCATGCTGTCATCATGTTCCATTTTCATCCGGGATGGTTGGAAAACTCCCGCAGGCTTAAACCATGCACATTTGCTCATATAATGATGACAACCCATGAAATGTACCTCATAGCAATTCTGGCTGGCAGTTTTACTCTGTCAAGTTTGTTTGCTTTACGCCACATAGCAACACAAACAACACAGTCATGGAAATGAATATGGAATAATGTCAATAATTACATAACCATTGCTGGAATAATGTAAATCTGTAATTTGTGCTGAATGAGACAGCATTGTGTAAAATCTGAGAGTTAATGGTTAGGAAAACGATGGTATATTAACACAACGGAATATTATATAGCATTGAAAAGCAACAAACTCGTAAAATATTATATAACATGGCAAAGCCTGGAGGACATTTATGCTGAGTGAAACATCTCAGTCATAAAAGGACAAAACCGCATAACACTGCTATTATTAGGCAGGAATGACAAGGGTGATTAGGGTGAGACAAGGAAAAGAGTGGATAGGTAAGGAACACTGCATTGGAAGAGATGAGGGAAAGAACTGTTTAAAAGAAATATGTTGTTTGTTGTTATGTGCCATCGAGTCTCCTGCAACTCATAGTGACCCTATGTACAACAGCCCTAAACCTTGCTATGCTGTCTGCCAACCTCACTGTCTCCGACATACCTATGACCCATTACCCTAGTCACTGAATCAATCCACCTCATAGAGGGTCTTCTTATCCTGCACTGTCCTTCCACCCTCCCAAGTGTGATGTCTTTCTCAAAGGACTAGTCTCTCCTTGCAACATGTCCAAAGTATGTTAGATGAAGCTTCAGAATCCTTGCTTCCAAGCAGCTGTCTCGTTTAACCCTCCCCAGGATGAGCCTGTTCATTTTATTAGCAGTCCATAGTATATTCCACACTCAGTTGGGTCACCTTTCTTTGGGATAGGAACAAATATAGATCTCTTCCAGTCAGTTGGCCAAGTGGTTGTTCTCCAGATTTCTTGGCACAACTTGGTG